ATGTAGAAAGGCATCGAAATACCTTTACATGGGATGTAATTAATAGTTGATATTGTAGGATTTCAGGGCTCAGGAGAAGGCTAGGGAATGGTGAAAGATGAACTAGGTAAGTAGAGTCCACACTGAAAGGCTTTGTGTATTACTCTAAAGTCTCTAATGTAGTAACAGGGAGTCTGAAAAACTGAGTGTGAGAGAGTGATCAACTTTATATTTTAGAAAAATCTTCGGTGGTAATGTGAAAGATAGATCAAATGGGTAACACACCTAGAGGCTCCGTTGTCAATAATGTGGCTTTTGCGGTATTACAGGCAAGAGATGATAAAGGTTTAAACTCAAGTAATAGCATTGGTGCCATGAGAGAGAGTGAGTGAGTGTGTGTGTGTGTTGGGGGAAGGGAGAATGAATTAGTGAATTACTGGTTAGATTATTAGGAATGATTTTGAAAATGGCTACTATATATGAATGCCAGGTATTATGCTGAGTGCTCTACTTAATTTTTTTTGTTTCATCCTCATAAAAACTCGTGGGTTAAATACTATCATTATCTTTGTTTTACTATTTAGAAAATTAGATTTATAGAGGTTAAGAAATATACCCAAGATCACACAGCTGATAAATGTTTGAAATGGGCTTAAAACCTGGCCTTTCTTTCTTGTGCTTAACCACTGTACTATATAGTAGAGGACAGAGTCGAAAGAGATGAGAGGTAGAGGATAATGCTGAGGTTTCTGGCTTATAGATACTTGGCTTGTAGACCAGGTTTCTGGTGAATAGAGAGTACCATTTGTTAAGATAGGAAATACCAAAGGAAGATGAACAGAGTTTGTAGAAACAAAAATTTTCTCTTTTATTTTGAACATGCTGACTTTAAGATGTCTTTGGGACTTTCAGGTTTAGAAGTACACTGGCAGTTGAATATAAGGACCTTGAGTGGAGATACAGATTTAGAAGTAATTAGCATATTTGTGTCAGTTAAAGCCCTGGAGGTAAATAATATTATTCAAAAAGTGTATATAAATTTAAAAGAAAGTGGAAAATGCAACCCTGGTGAACATTTGAGGTGCTGGCAGAGACTTGTTCTCTGTCTCTTTTATAGGCTCTTCTTCCTAAGTCTAGCTTTAGATAACTGAAAGAAACTAGTGTTGCAGAAACCAAAGGGAGAGAAGGGATTTCAAGAATGCTCAAGTAGTTGATGTCAGTTGCCATTAAGACTCAGGTGAGATAAGGACTGAAGTGACTATTGATTTTGGCAATTATTGTCATTTTGACTTCACTGAGAGCCATTTTAGAGGACTAGTAGAGGAGAAGAAGGCAGGTAAGGAAGTAGGGTTAAGTGTCAATTTTGAGAAGCTTGGCTATAAAGGAATGACAGAAGGACCGTAGCTTGATGCAGGGTTGAGGGACAATGGTTTTTCATGTAAGAGACTTCATCATATTTGTAACTAGAGAAGGAGCAGCCAGTGAAGAGAGGTTGAAGATAATAAGAGAGGGAATAATTGATGCCGTAAAGTTTCTTTTTTTTTTTTTTTCCTTTTTGTCTTTTTTCGGGACCGGCAACGGATCACAACCCTCGGTGTTGCTCCCGCACCTCGCTCAGCCAGTGAGCGGGAACCGGTCTGTATGTGGGATCCGAACCCTCGGCGGGAGCGCCACCGCACTCCCAAGTGGCGCACTGTGCGCCACCGGGCCGACCCCGATGCCGTAAAGTTTCTTGAACTTAGAAATGATGTCTCTCAGAGGCTATGAGGAATTAAAGATGGATATAGCTAGCTCTGTAGTTGTTTATTGACTGTGTGATGTTGGGCAAATTACTTAACTCTGAGGCTAATAGTGTCTACCTCCTATAGTGTTTTGAAATGCTTATTATGCCTGGTATATAATAAGAGTTTAGAAATTATAGCTAATATTACTGTGCAAATATCTATAAATAAAAGGGCAGGGCAGAAAATTCTTTGATGGATTCTGTTTCCTCTATCATGCCGTGCTGAAGGGAAGAGATGTAAGTTAGAGAAGGAACTATAAGAGATTAGGAAAAAGTTTGAAATAGCCAGTTTTGGAATGCTAAAAGATTCTATTTATCCTAGAATGAGTAGAAAAGATTGTTAGGGAGCTTTAAGAACACATTTGAGATTGAAAAATGTAAGTCTGTGCTGGTACTAGCAGTAGGTTGTGAGAGTGGAGAAAACCAAATTTGGTCAATGTGTATGTGGGTTTTCAAAACTGGTGTAGTTCCTTCTGTCTAGAAGACCCTTTGCTTTGCTTTTCTACTCTCCTGTCTATCCTTCAAACCCCACCTCAGAGCGCCGTTTCTTCTGTCGCTTTACCACCAATGACCAAGTCCTATAGTTATTATGTGTTGCACTAAAAATCTTATCATTCATACCACTTAGTTCGCAATTAACGGAGCAATGAAATTTGGCATATCTTTCATTATATTCTTAAGCTACTATTCTTATATAATTTAATTTTCTTGAGTAGTTGTAAGCTCTCAAGAACAGAGAAAGTTAGTGAGGCCACCAGAATTCTATATTTATTGGTAACCACGCAACCCCTAACACCTAGCACCTTGTTTGCAGATATGTGAGTATTTGTTGATTATTCTATAGAAAATGTTGAGGGCTTTATATAATACTTTGATAGAATATGATAGAAATACATCTGTAAAGAATTTGCTCATTTTAGCTTTTAGACAGAAGGCTGCCTATTTGCCAAGAGCCTATTTAGGGATATTTGGTGCCATTCAGTCCTTCATATTTAAGTTAAAGTGAGGAAGCAAACTAATCAAAATTCTAGCTATCAAGGTCCAAATTGCACTACCAGTAGAGACTCCCCACCTTACAAATATTGTTGTAGAAAGCTACATTTTAATAAATAAACACAAATTTTAACAAAACCCTTATTTGAGCCATTTTGATTTTTTCTCATTCTATCGTGGCCTTATGCATCCATATTTTTTATGATTGTAATCAGTATACTTTTATTTTTGTATTTTTTGTTATGTTGTAAACATTCAGGCTTCCATGTAGTGAAACAACAAACTGTACCCCACAAATATGTACACGTAAATTTTAAAGAAAAAGAAAAAAAATGATTCAAACTTCATAATTGCTTTTGTAACTGCGTAATACTTCATTAAATCCATACACCATAATTAACTGTAATATGTCAAAATGACTATAATACAGAAATAATTTTTTTTTTTTTTTTGTCTTTTGACTTTTTCCATGTCTGGCAACGGATCGCAACCCTCAGCGTCGCCCCCGCACCGGACCGGGGACTGGCAACGGGATTGCAACCCTCGGCGTTGCTCCCGCGCCTCGTTCAGNGTCTTTTGACTTTTTCCATGTCTGGCAACGGATCGCAACCCTCAGCGTTGCTCCCGCGCCTCGTTCAGCCAGTGAGCGGGAACCGGTCCGCATGTGGGATCCGAACCCTCGGGCGGGAGCGCCGCCGCGCTTCCCAAGCGGCGCACTATCCAGTGCGCCACCGGGCCGGCCCCAGAAATAATTATTTCTAGTTGTTTTAGTATAATGGATAATGGTGCACTAGACATCTCTGTGCATATCGTTTTTTCTTATGAACTATTTCCTTAGGAAAAATTCCCAGAAGTGGAATTACAGGATCAAAGTGTATGAATATTTTTCTGGCTCTTAATATGTGCCAATCGAATTTTTTTAAGAACTGATGAAGCCATTGGTTTTGAATGGCCTGAAATGTATTTCAGCCTTAGATTAGGACTTAAATCCTTTCATTATAGGATTTGGTTGGCAAATGCCTCAAAATTTAGATTTTATCGTATTCAGTAGCTAATCCATTTTCTTTCTGTTTTGTGAAGTAATTGTAAGACAGGTGTTATTTTGAATTAACCTTTCTATTAATGTATAGTAGAAAATTCAGTATTATTGCTTTTTTACCATATGCTTTGAATAAATATGCATTACTATTTATTTTCAGGACTTGATTAGAGACCAAGGGTTTCGTGGTGATGGAGGTAAGTAATGATTTCAGGTTTTAAAAAACTTAGGGAAAAATGCAATTGCTTTGCTGCTTGACTCCTTTATATTTGCTTCTTTCATGAAACACAGACACAGAGAAAAATGTGTAGAGAAAACTCATTTTTTTTCTATAGGATTTATCATTTATTTCTAATAAAATTTTAACTAATAAATAACATAGTAGAGAAGATGAGAGAACATAAAAGGGAGTCTTAAATGTACCATCTACAGTTTTTCAATACTGTATCAAGGAGAGAGCCTTAATTATTTTACCCACTTTATTAATTTCTAGCCATCTGCAAAGCTGGAATTGCTAAATTTCTTTTAAGGGCTCAACTGATAGTTAAAGATGGCATTTAGAATCAGATAAAATTTAACTTTGCTAAATCATTCTCAGGGGGAGTCACTTGATTGCCTGCCACAGCTTCTCAGTTTTTAATGTTCCTCTCAGACATTATCAACCACTTCCCTTCAACTTTCTAGAAGTGTTTGAAATGTACATTTTTTGGAATGGACCTATAATGGAAAAGCCCAGTTGCCCTATTATTTGTCCAGTAATTAAAGTAAGCAAATGAGCAGTTGAATTGAGATTTTTTAAAGAATTTTCATTTAGTATTCACCCCAACACATGAGACAACATTACTTAAGAAAATACTTTTTGTAAGAATTTACCCTTTGTAATGTTTATCAAGAGATGATATTTGAGATTTTCTTGAAGTTTTCTTCCAGGAGGTCCTCAGAACTTATCTCCTCAGCTCTCTTCTATCTAATAAGGAAGACCTGTACTAACTGCTTATCTTGCTTAGAGTTGGTCTCTTCACTGTGACCTTCTTTAGCTTCAAAATATCTAAGCCCAGACTCAAAGATATTTTATATTGAGTAAACATTGTATAAACCATCTTTTGGTATGTTTCTGTATATCTGTGAAGCTACCAAAATAATGATAAGCCCGCATTATATACTCTGGACTTAGTTTTGACTGAGCACAGTTATGCAAGTTTTGTTTTTTTCTGTTTGTTATTCCATGAATTCACCAATTAATGTTGCTGCCCGTTTTACTTTCATATGTCTTAATAGCTGTGGCTTTGGTAATTTTGCCCAACACATCCAGCATTTAAATGTTGCCATCTTGTTAGCATCACAAAGTTAACTTAGTCATAAACACAGCCTGCTTAGTACCTAAAATCAAGTGGCATTTCTTGGGTTTTTTTTAATGAGTCACTTTTTAAAGCAGATTTTTTTTAAACGTCCAGAATTATTTTGCAAAGCAGGCTTCAGTTCATCTTAATTATTCCCCATGACTTCTTTCATTTCTTCTATGTGTCTGTCTTCCTGTGTTTGCCTGCCCCTCTCTTTCTCTTCTAACAGCCCCTTTGAACCAGCTGATGCGCTGTCTTCGGAAATACCAATCCCGGACTCCCAGTCCCCTACTACATTCTGTCCCCAGTGAAATAGTGTTTGATTTTGAGCCTGGCCCAGTGTTCAGAGGTAGTTGGGCTCTTCTTTCTTGTTTTCACCCAAAGCAAATTAAACATAAACTACAGATGCTGTTTGTGCCTCACCCTCACAGCGTGTGTTTGTAAGTGTGAGAGTTTTCAGTACTAAATTTCTGCTTGGCCTGGCTGGAATGCTCTGAATGTGCTTCTCACACATGCTCACTACCACAAGCTTTCTGTGTGCTGTCTGTCATAAATTTTTGAAAGAAAGAAAATGCTGAGCTGAGATTTCCATCTTGTTTTTTGTTATCTTATTACTTCTTGGTCTTGATAACTTCTTAAACTTGGTGGGAATAAACAAGGTGTATGTGGGGATCTCCAATATGGATTTCTTTTATTTTAATGCATTTAAGTGATAACTTTGATGACTATTAGTATTTATTAACAATTTTTGTGGATTTGTAAGAAAGTAAAAATGTAAATGGAAACCCTATTATGAGATTTTATTAGGCTTTTGGCTTTTTTTGGAGATTATATATCAGCAGTGTTTTTTGTCTTATGCACCCCACTCCCACCCACCCAGTGCAGGACGTGTATATTTTATATCAAAGGTAGGAAGCTATTTAAAAAAAAAAAAAAAAAAAAGTTTT